TCATTCTGAGGTATATTGTCTTGGCCTAAAACACCCGGATGAAGCCCTCGTATAGAAGCTCTTTCACTGGAACCCGGAGTAGCCTCTTTCCCGATGAAACCACAATGAATACGTTCGTGGTTTTTGGTTAACCTCCAGAACATTTCACGTCCAACCGATAGGTTCCTGAACTTTAACAGCGAATGCTCTCGAGGGATAAAAGGCAAGTACAGGAATGACGAACCATCTTCGTGTAACCACTGCGCCGGCTTGCAGAAAGCAATCGTCGGATCCTTTATGGAGTCACCAAACAAGAAGTCTGGTTTCCTTATACATTGGTTTGAGTCCTGTTCTGAAATTAATGTTGCGTCTGTGATTAACCGTCGCAGAATACGGCAACTGCCTCGTTGAATCAACTCTCGGGCCCCTTCGCTGTAATCTGATTTGAACTGAGGAGCAGACTCAATTAACGGTAGCCCCTCATAGTAAGAATGAGTGACACTACTCTGGCCCGTAACTGCATCGACGGTGAAGATTGTGGCAGGAAAATGGACTGATACAGGAGATACACATAAGCTGTGTGAGTATAGTCTTAAAATTTTATAGAAAACGGTATATCTTACTCCAAAAGATATAGTCGCTATCTCATAACAGGTGTGACGATTTTCCATCTATCATATGTATAAAGGAGATATGCGTTACTATATACGGGCATTATAACGGCATACCATAACCTTTCAATACATATGAGATGATATGAAATCGCCCCTGTATATTATGAAGTGTGTTTTGTCCAAGCAAAACAAACACTTTTAAGCGTCGATCCCCTCAAGGGAGGATACCGGCTCTTCTCGAGGGTATCTTAAAGGATACAAACGAGGATCTGCACGCAAATACAGGTACATATATATGAAATTGACAAAATACAATATTTAAATTCGTGAAAGGGCAAAAGAAATATACCCCCATGTGAAACGACAGCGGGACCAGTCTCTTCAGGGGACTGAGCAGTCGAGCGGCCTCGGGAACCTCTGGATTGGCGCGGCGACATGATGAAAACACAAGCTACATTGAAACCCGAGAGGAGACTTAGGGTTTTGAACGTGAAATTGAACAAAATATCACAAGATATCACCGAAACAGTGCATGCTAGGTCACAGTTAAAAGAAGTTGAGATTTCAAAGGAAGAGGGTGAACAAACCTGTCAAACCCGAACAAAATCTCCCCAAAGCAAGAGCTCCACACAAATCAGAAGTGAAGAGGAGAAGGAAAGGTAGAGAACTGGTCGAAAGTCACTTAAAATCGCTCACAAAATCGCCAGAAATCGCTGCAAAAAGCCGACGTAAAAAAAAGCCCTAAAAACCCTAAGTCGGGGTTTTATAACCCCGAATTCACCGTGCGGGACAGACTTTACTGTCCCGCACCACGAGACAGTATTTACTGTCTCGCACCGCGAGACAGTATTTACTGTCTCTGTCTCGCACCGCGAGACAGCATTTACTATCTCGCACAGTGAGACAGTATAAGGTGTCTCGTATCACGAGAGGGCAACGATCGTTATGATGTTGCAGTATAAATGAATACTCCAATGGGTACACGAGTCTAAACTGTATTCCTACCCTCAACAGGAAGTTTCTGGAGAATATTAATCTGGATATTCTTAAGGATAACCTGACGAACTTTCGAGAGACAAACGAGCATCAATCTGGATATACCAACTTCAATTCAAGGTCTCAACAACGGTCGAGCGATAAACGCAGTGCCGGAGAAGTATTAGCTATTCTACAAAGAACTGAATAGACTAGTGGATGAAGAGATCAAGAGCTGAAGCCATGTTACAGATTCTTCTACACGATCTACTCAACCAAGCATTGAAGGGATCGTAAGTAAAATTTATCTTATCCAAAATATCCCAGACTCTTCTATAAAAGAATACGTCTGGAAATACTTTGGATGGAGTATCTGTAGGCGTCAAAAAATGCTAATAGATATCCCAAACATAGAAAATATCACTCAAAAAATCACAAGAATTGATCTCATACTGTTTTTGGAAAATCAAGACAGGTATGAACTGTCTCGCCAGCGAGACAGACTTTGCTGTCTCGCCAGCGAGACAGTATTTTACTATCTCGCCAGCGAAACAGTGTTGAAATGGTTAAAAACCACCTCGATAACTGCCCTACACGTGTCCATTAACTGCCAAGGGACGTGGGAAACATCTTGGGCGAAAATCACATGAATAACTACCAAAATAACGAAGTTTGAAACATGGGAAGGCAGTTAAAAAACGAAAACTGCCAGAATATTCCACTTCCGAGACAGCATTTACTGTCACGCGGGCCGAGACAGCAAACACTGTCTCGCCCAGCGAGACAGTAAACACTGTCTCGCGACCATAACGTGTTGTTTTGTGTGAGTTTTGTGCAGTTATTACCCAGAGGCTATAAATACCCCCCTAGGGTCATTTCTGACGAGGATCGAGCATATTTTCGAGCAATCCAGAGCAGAGAGAGCATATTTGAGTTTTCGTGCAACTCCTTGAAATTAAGCTTTGACTTGATTTTAAGAAGAACGACTATCTTGCTTTGATAAGATATCGTTTCAAATTCTCACTTCGATAAACGAAGTCAGAATCAGTAAACCCCCTTCACGATCTGTGATTCGGCAGTCCACGAACCAAAGCGTTCCCGGCACAGGCAAAGTCCCACAAAAACAAGAATCGATAAACGATTTTTGTGTTATTTTCTCAAGAGTTGTAATTTTTGCTTTGTTGTGTAGAAAAGGTCTTATAAAAAGACTATTTTTTTGAATTTGTTGTAATCAAACGAAGATATAATGAATTCCTCAACATAAACAACTTTTGCTGAAAACAGGTATCTTCCTTTCACTTGGGCTCATTTTCTACCTCTCGTTATATCGCTTTGAATATTGTTAGTTCTAACTTGCCCCAAATTACTAGAACTAACATAGTGCGGGCTAGAACTAGCATGTTGCGGGCTAGAACTAAGAATGTGCTGGTTAGAACTAACTTGAGGGCCCAAGAGCATAGAACTAAGATGAATTAGAGCTAGAACTAGCTAGAACTAACATAGTGCGGGCTAGAACTAGCATGCAGAATCTACTCCGACCAATTCATTGCAAAATAAACGCAATCGAATGGAGAATCTACTCCGACCAATTCATTGCCCAAGAGCCCAATTCAAAAAGAGAGGAATTCAAAGGTTTAGATGCAAGCTTAAATAATGTTTTGATTAATTACCATCAGAATCAACATCACTTTGTTCTCCTGAATATTGAAAAAGCCCAAAAAAACATTTGTTGTCGTGAAAGTTGATGCTGGGCATGATTGTCATGTAATGCGATATATGTTAGTCTAAGTTGTTGAAGACCTGTAGCTTCTTCTTGGCAAGCATCCGTGTTGATGGCATCCCGACAACGTTGATGGCGAACTCGAGGGCAAGGTAGTTAGTGACAGTGGCGAACTCCGGCGTAGTCAAGGGCGAGGCGGGGAGCGGCGGAGAGCAACGACGACGAGGCAGGGCGGAGGAGAGGAGGGGAAGTGGTTGGGAACTCGAGGGCCCAAATCGCGAGCTAGGGCGCGGATCTGGAGTCCGACGTCATCGTGAAGGGCCTAGTCGCGGGTAGGAATGGGGCTTGAGAGCTTGAGAGAGAGAGGAGAGAGGAGATGAGAGAGAGAGAGAATGGAGAGAGAGAGAGAGAGAGGGGAGATGAGAGAGCGCTTGGGGCCGAGGCGGAGGTGGCGACGGCGAGGAGGGCGAGGATTAGAGCAATGAGCTTGAGAAAACTCTTGGTTTTAGAGAGAGAGAGAGCTGGTTTGAGGGATTGAGGAGAGAGGATAAGGATAATTTGGGGATTTTAGCTTAGGTGGAATGTAAAAAGGGCCGTAGTACAAAGTGTCATGCTTCAAGGGGCTGATCCACATGGGGAAAACTACGAGGGGCCTCGTCACATGAAGTTTCTGTTTTTAGAGCCTGGACACATTTTTCCCTAAAAAAATTTACCCTTTTTATTAAAATTAAATAAAAATTTAATAAAAACCTATTTCTGGAGAAGCGATGCAAAGCTCTTGTACTTACGTCCTTGTGTCCAGTAATAATCCATTTACCAATTATGACACCAGACTTTTTGCCTCCACACTTTTTTCGCTGTTGGATGCTCGTGTCCGGGAACAAATTAGGGTTATTTGCACTTAAATATCTTAAATTTTACTCAATTTTCAACTCTGGTACACTAAAGTGTTTTTGTCTAAAATATACCAAAAGTTCACCTTTGTTTTTACCTTTGACAAGTGTTCTTCCGGCCAAAAAGTACCCACCGAAAACAAAGTTTAAGTTTGAATATTAAAATTAAATTTCGGTAAACTTGCTAGTATATCTTAAGCAAGAAAATACATGAAGAATCAAAGCTAAAAACAAGGTAAACTTGGGGGGTTTTTTGAGTACAAATAACCCAAAAAAAATACACTGATCCGTGCGGTCTTTGGTTTCCATGTCTGAGATCAATTATGTTCTTTTTTTTAGAAATCAACCAAACAGCACCCTAATATCCACAGCTAGAGCCATTATAGAAACTAAGGGCCTGTTTGGATTTGTAGGGGGTGAAGGGAAGTTAAGGGAAACTTTGGATTTGTAGGGGGTGAAGGAAAGTTAAGGGAAACTGGGTGAAGGGAAAGGAAGGGAAGGGAAGGGAATTTCATTCCCCTTGGTTACACCCCAATTTAGGGGTAACAATTTTTATACTATTAGAGGGTGAACCAAGGTGAATGGAGGTGAATTAACTTCACCTCCTAAATATTCCCAAACAAGATGAATGAAGGTGAATGGTTCCCCTAACTTCCCTTCACCCTCAATCCCCTCAATCCAAACAAGCCCTAAAATTAGTAGCAGATCCGTATACTATTGCCATGACAACATAATATAGCCTCTTCCCGTTTCAACTGTGTATACTTCTCCGAAACGACCATGTAGAACATCTAGAAGCAATTATGAACTGAACGGTTATGACTACAATCACAATTGCTAGTATAACCACATCTTTCCACAAATTGTAATTACACCGATGTTTACGCTTGTTCACCGAGCAAATGGCCTTCATGAAAACTCATAAGGAATACACTTCGGTTTGTAACTTGCTACCTTACAACCGTTTGTTCTTGGTCAAGAATTGTACAGCCTTGCAAATAATCAGAACAATGAACCTCATATTTTACACTTACTACATTTTTTTTTCTAAGGTGCTTTGCAACTTCCTAATCTACAAAACTGCTTAACTGCCATAAATACAGCAGATGGAAAGTCTTGATTACAAATACAAAGATGCAGCGAAGACTATATCACGTTTTATCTTGGCTACGGCCTCTTCGAATTTTGCTTCAAGTTGAGTTTCTCCGATTGACTTTGCAACCAAAATCAATTGTTGTAGGACTTCCTCCATTCTTCTTATTGCTCTGATTAAGCTTCCCTCGAATACTTGTGTCATCTCCATTATCTCGAAGAACTTGGAGCCTTTTGCCCATTCATACACAGCTTCCATTATGTCAGGGCGAAATGAGTTCACAAAATTCTCCACATCAATCTGGATCTGTCAACCGGACAATAACATTTAAGATATGTTATCCAATAGTATAGCATGCTTCATGGTTGAACTTAGAAAGCTCTATCCTATTAAAAAATCCAAAATTTTTAGAAAAATAAGTACACTTAGACTGGACCTCCTTTCCATTTCTATTCTCCAAAACGGGATCTTTAGATCCACTGGATTTTTCCTTTGCTGAGGTTCCATATAGTTTTTCTCTCTTTCCTTCCTATCCAAAAGAACCGAAGAAAGGAAGGGCTAAGTTTTAGTCACGTCATTGTATATAATAAATTTTATAGAACCCCCTTGATCGATGCAGAATCCAGCACAATTTACCTCTAAAACTCTATAAATTTGATAAAAAGATTTGTGAAAAATACAATGACTGATCCTTACATGCACAGCACCTTCCTTTTTTATTCCCCTCCTCTTTTTGGGTTTTTTTGATTGTTCTTTTTTTTTGTGGGGTGTGTGTGTGTGTGGGGGGGGGGGGGGGGAACGAAAACAAAAATGTCGCTACTCTTTTGGTCGGGTGTGAAGTATGTAGACCTAAGCAGTTTGGGGGACAAGGAGTGGCTGATTTTGAAGTAATGAGCAGATCCTTGCCGGCCAAATGGAATTGGGAATGGTTTAGGGTGCCTGAAAGTATTTGATCTGTTACCTTCTACAAATACTATACGAGGAGAGAATTTGTAGTTGTTTAGAGAAAGTATTCATATTTGTCTTCTTTTTGAAAATTGTCATGTCGAATACTTGCAGTCTTGATAGTTTTTGCACAGTATTAGAGTGATGGTTGGAAATGGAGAGGAGACTCTTTTTCAGACAGGTAGTTGGATCGGAGGCTTTCAGCATCTTCATTCCCGGGTTTATCTACTTTAGCAGTGTCTTTATATGCTCCAGAGCAGGTTTAAATTGGGGGTAGTGGGGGCAATTGCCTCCCACTGACTCCCCCTAAGATTTATATTTGCTATTAGGCCTGCATTTCAATTTAATACCCTTTAGTTAAAGTAGAAATTAGTAAGTCACTACAAAAGGACTTCTAGTCCTAAAAACTAACATTATAAAGAAAAACAGTATAAGAGTTTGTGTAATGGTGACTTTGTCTCAACTCTAGGTCACTACTGTTGCACTGAATATTATGTTTTAATCTAAATACTTCATTATTAACTTTCACATACTACTTTTGTCTCATACTAAATATCAAGGAATGTGCAATTCTAATGCAAACATTAAAATAATCATGTTTTTTTTCCTATGAAAAGTTTGTATATGTCCTTAAAAGATGAAGCTTCATCCAAGCTACCAAACTTCTTCAATGTGGTTACATGCATGAAATAGGTACCTGCAAAATGCCAATTAAATGGAACTTAAAAGACAATAAGTGAAATTCTAACTAACTGCATAATCCTAACTATATGTAATTCTTAGTCTGTATGTGCTAACTATCTAGCTTAAGACTTAACACGACTTTTTCTCATGATTGTAAAGAATTTTGACAAGATGCTTCTATTGACTTTATTTATGTGCGTGTGTGTGTGTGTGTTTATGTGTACTCATATGCATATTTGGTACTTGATGCATTAATATTTAGGTAGAAATATCATATACTAGTTACACGTGCACTTATCATACTGCCCCAATGACCAAGTTTCAGGACCCATCCCTGCATTTGCAACAGCTCAATCTCAGAGGGTGATCCTTATGCGAATAGCAGTACAATGGAAAGGAACATCGTTAAGTGATATTCATGATGAATTAGGATATTGCGTAGTCCATAATGAAATCAAGAGAAAGAATCTAACACTGAGAAGAGGCTACCTTGCACTCAAGCTGAACAGCAGCAACCCTCCTTGCTGTCTCCTGTAGCTGGATAAATAGCAAATCAAGCTCTTCCCTCGGTTTCTGGGCATCCTGGAGTTTCTCCTGCCACACAAAACAGGAAAGAAGAGCCACCATCCCTTCAACACTCACATCCTTGAATGCTCCACTAAACATGAGCTCTGTCAGAGTTAATTCATCAGCTGAGCTTATCTCACACGCAACCTTCCCCTTCAACTGCACAACATCGTCACTGGTAATGTATCTGTAATGATTCATTTTGCAACGTAAGCAAGACATCAAATAAAAGCAAATTACCAAATAAAAGTACGTAGCTAGAAACCAAATATTCACGTTTTTCTAAATGATGCAAAGAAATACTAAATTCTACAAACGAGAGAAGGAAAAGAGTATCTTTTGTAGTAGCCGCCACTTCAAAGTAAACTTTCCATTTAACTTATATTTCTAGCATTCACTTCAGAGCATGTTACTTACTGGTTATTTTTCTAATCAAATCTGTCTGGAAGTTCTCAAAGAGTATACTAATCATCAACAGTAGAAAATAGAAATGACATGGTAAGCATCGAACTAAAAATAAATTGATTAGAGGAATCTGATTTAACAATTAAAATTAACCCAAGCCAACCAAACATCAAACAGCCATGAAACTTTTAAGAGGACCTAGACCCATACAGACTGCATTAAACAGACTCAACGGTTGAAATGCATTACCCCAGTCTCCGGAGAACCCTTTTCCGTGCCTTAAGTTCACCTTTAAAGGCTAACGCTGTGGATGATCGTGTTACTTTCTTTATTGACTTGATTCTTGCATTCAATTCTAGCTTATCATGCAATGCTTTCAACTTCTGGGGAGCAAGTGGGGTATTTCGCATAACATGTTTTTCGATTGACCTCTCCAGATCCTCAACTCTTCGAACGGATTTTTTATATGAGCTACTTTGTTGAACCTAAAAGCAAATGAAATGTTAAATACCATACAAGCGGGATCTAAAAGTGGTATACCATCTCTGGAGAATCTAGAAAGAACTTCTGAAACCTTGCTCAGGGTATTCTCTCGTGCTTCCGGTCGCAAAAGATCCTTCGGCATGAAAAGCCGAATGCTACTCAGGCTATCAATCTGTTGAACACATTGAATAAGCCATTTAGGAGGGGCGAATGATTATCTAAGTGATAAACAATAATCGAGGTAATATTACATTCAAACTCTAGGTATGATAAGCTTGAAGGAAATGCCAAGGACATAGCAAAACGATAAGTTTGAAAAAGTAAAGCCATAGATCCAATCTGACCTCAGAAAGTGGCAAAGAAATGATGGTGGGCTCCCCATTCTTCTCATCTAATGGAACAATCTTCACTGGCTTCTTTGCACCCGTTTCCTTGTTTATCATGCATTTTAACAGGACAACAACTGTATAATCTGAATCCTCAGGTCTTTTATCTGAGACATCAAAAAGAGAAGTAGGTAAAAGGATGATGTGGGATCTGAATGCACTTGAGGTTGGTTTCTGTCAGAAGAATAGAAAGAATAGATTCTATAACAGAAAATTATCAAGAAGCTCTATGTCGAAAATTTTATTTCTTATTCCCTGCATTAGGACTACATCAAACTAATTTGATTATAAACACTGAAAAATGCAGTTACAATAGCGTACATTTGAAAGAGATATACACCACAGTATGGAAATTTTGATGCTATTGACTAGCTATGTATGCATAACCTCATCAGTTTGGTAACTTGACTGTAGTTCGAAACAATTTTACATTAGAATAGGAAAGTTCTTAGTACATGTTACTATTAGTTTGTTGGAGTTAAACTGTAGTTCGAAACAATTTTACATTAGAATAGGAAAGTTCTTAGTACATGTTACTATTAGTTTGTTGGAGTTAAAATGTTTGTAGCTAAACTGGTTAGATTTCTCAATTTGAATGACATGCTCCGGATTAATAAAATATGAACTCATACAAAAGTAAGTCCTTTCAATCAGTATACCTCCACCTGGGCTTTTCAGCCTCTCAAAATCAATTATCACTCCCCATGTAACATGCTCTTCTGTGGAGAAAGATTGTGTTCGATCATCAGGAGTGCATTGTACACGCACAAGCCGGCCAGGCTGCAAGAATGGTAAACAGTACTTGGGGGAAAATACAATATCTCGAACATCATTTTTACAATTCTTGAGTTGCTGTAGGAGATCATAATAATCTTCAACGTCTTCCTCTCCTTCAATAATAATCGAATCTCTCTCAGCTTCCAAATCCTTAGCTTGTTTCTGTGTACAACACTTAAGTGGATTAAGAACTAGAAGATCACGATAATGAGACATAAAGCAACCCCCCTCCAAAAAAAAAAAAATGCTTAATTGCTTTTTATAAACGATTAAACGAAAATTATGTAAAATAAATCTATAAACTACAAGTCATATTGAAAAGAAAAGATGGTCAGAATTTCCAGCCAGTTAGGACCCAAGGAAAGCAACTCCAACAAAGGAAAATCTTAATGTAATCACAATTCTATTTTTATTCACGTTAGGAGATCAAAGCTAATGTTTAATTTTTACCCTGAATAAGGCCTTAACCTGTTCACTTACGCGATCACAATCTAGTGTATTTACTATAAGAGGCTACAGACTTTGGACAGTAACATAATTTTTCTTCAATAGTCAGTTTAACAAACCTCTAGATCAGGAAGGGCTCGATCCGATTGAAACTGATAAAAGGAATTTCTGAGAAGATTTTCTGGGTCACCGTCTTCGCACCTCATTTGATTCAAAAGCATATTGTAGCTTAGGTGGAAAGCACTGAATTAAAGGGAAAATTGATGTAATAAATATTTGCAATTTGCAGGAAAAACATTTCATATAAAACAACTACAAGCATACAGCAAAAGATCCAAATAAGCAAAAGCTGAGATCATGATCAATGTGTTATGCCAGATCGCTACACATCAATTACTGTTCTTAATATCTTGTCACAGCAGATACGCCCAGAAGGGAGGAGCTTCCACTATGTAACCAACTGCCAGCACAAAATTTAGCCAAATATCTACAACAAAATGATGATAAAAGGTTTGGAATAAATACTTTAATTTTGTACTTGTCCTACATACTAAAGTGACTAGAGATGAACTGTACTTAACTACAGTGCATCTCCTATAACTCTAATATATAATATTATTATAGAAAATGGTACATAGGAAACATGTAGCACAGTGGCATTGCATTTGCTTTAAATGAAGTGAAGTCATGAGGTCGATTTTTTCTAGCCTCAAATATTTTTTAAATTCTCATTTTTTTGGCATAATACAACCAATGTTTACCATCTCCTATAACTCTAATATATAATATTATTATAGAAAATGGTACGTAGGAAACATGTAGCACAGTGGCATTGCATTTGCTTTAAATGAAGTGAAGTCATGAGGTCGATTTTTGCTAGCCTCAAATATTTTTGGAATTCTCGTTTTTTTGGCATAATACAACCAATGTTTACCCCCCATTTCTTTTCAAACCCAACAACTTCTTTCTATAAATGCAAACTTCTGTCCCTATTTATTTTAAACAATTCTCACCCTATAATACTCCAGTAACTCCACTCAGCCAAAATTCTACCAATTTAACTTTGAACCAACCACTTTCCAAAAAAGTTCTTTTACTAATAAACTCAAAGCTTTACGCCATCTAATTTTAAGCCATTCATTTCTAAAATCAATATTGGCCCAAAAGAACTTTATGAAATTATTTTTAAACTCAATTTGTATTTCAGCTGTTTGACACATAGCGTATGCTGCTATATATTTCTTTAATTTACCAAATTTTTTACAAGTGGTTAGGTATGCAGTGATGCAAAATGTTTAAACCTTTTTTTTTTTGGTTTTTTTTCCATACTAGTGCCGCGACATCACTAACTGTAGATGAGCAAAGTATTACCTTGATTTATTTTCAAACTCACACACTTACAAAAAGGATTTTTTTACCTATAAGTTTTAACAAAATTTATTTTTAACCTACCCACTTGCAAAGCCACTCTCCGACCCTGAATACTTGAAAGAATAAATTTCAACCCACTTGGATGTCAGCTGTTCAGTACAATGTAAGCTACTATATTTTTCTATAACTTGCTATACTTTTTATTCTAAATAGTTAAATATTTGTTCTAAATAGTTAAACATACGATATAATTTTAAATTGATGTTTTAACTTATTTTTGGCTTTTTACAAGCTAATACAGTGGCATCTTGTGGGTCAATTTTGCTCGTCAGTCCAAAAAGACTTGGGATAAATACTTTGTTACTGTTGCCATTACTGCTGCTATTTTATCATTGTTTGATGCTACACAAAAATGTGATCTCCAACCAGGTCTTTCAAGTAAGATTTACTGAACATGGCTGTCCAACATGTTATAATGACTTGATTGTCACCGTGCATGACAAGTTTAATTATTACCTACCAGATAACATCCAAGTGTCAAAGGACATTAATATCATATCATGGATCTTGAAGCACTTCAAATGTAAGCGTTGGAGCTACAGGCACTGAAAAGAAAATCAATTGTTTATCGCTTGTTATGTACAGGCAGTGAAAAGAAAATCAATTGTTTATCGCTTGTTATGTAGAGGCACTGAAAACAAAATCAATTGTTTATCGCTTGTTATGATTGGAATAAGAATTTCATACAAAACCAAATAAGAATTTAACCAAAATATGTTGCCCATGAAACTTTTTCTTTCTTGCTTTAAACTACTTCAATAAACCTTTTTTCTAATTAACAGAATATATAAATTCAAGTCACGGAACATGAAACTAGGTTGCAATCTTTTACTCAATTAATGTTACTTAACCATGTGAGAACACAAAACCCTACCTACAGGCAAAAAATAGAAAATGCCTTTGTATGAAAAGCTTCTGTAGAAACAAAATAAAACAAACTATGCACTCTAAATGTGTAGCAGACATTTGAATGAGTAACTTGATGCTAGGTTCCGAGAGATTAATCCTTGCGGTGACCACTGAAATGAACAAGCATATACAACCACACAAAAAGGAATTATGAGAGATGGAGCGAGGCAAATAAGTATAATAAACTCGAGTGAAATAGACTTGACTTTACCATGTTAAAGTAACAGATATTTAGTGCCATTACTACAAATTACTCGAATATGAGGCTGTCTAATAATTTGATAAGACATGAATTAAGGTAAAAAAAAGAACTGCCAGATTTCTCTCCCTATGCAGCGGAGACTAGCTATTACTAGAAAGTGTAAAAATCACCAAGTACACATGCTTCTTGGCTATAAATTGAAAGAGCAATACCAGGTGTCTTTTTTTTCTTTTCTTTTTCCTTTCTTTTTTTTGGCTAACAGAGGAGTAATACTTTAGTTTAATCTTGAGAAAGTTGCACATGTGCAAACATGACGGAAGTGCGGGTCAGGAAGGAGGGAGAAGAAGCTAGCAAGAAAAAACAGGAGAGTTAAGCAAGCAGTTTTCTTGTTTTTAACAAGTATTGGACATCTATAAGTGGAAACATTATCTCCTAAAAAAAATAAAAATAAAAAGCAAGTGACTGAACTTGGAGAATTTAGATTGCTCCCTACAGTAACAAGAATCTATGTAAGGGCTTCCCCACCCCCCCCCCCCCAAATAAAAAAAAAAGATTGAGGGAATAGGGAGAAGAAAGAAAAGGAAAGGCTATCCTTCCCAAATGGGCAAACAAAAAAAGAAGAAAGCATTAACCCTGTACAGAAACTTCAAAATGATATAAAAAGAAAACGGAATGTATCTCATGGATATATATGTTTCCCATTAGAAAAAAAATACTTTTATTTCAAATTAGAAATATTTTTATTAACAAATACAAGTAAAAGCAAAGAATCTGATTCATGAGCATAGTTTGAGACAGAAAAAAGGCAGCAGAAAACAATTACACGATAGGTTTTGGGGAGAAGAACATACAAAGAAACAAGAATATAAGCTAATATGTCAGCAGATTCAAAGAAGAGTAGATAATCATACCTATTTAAACAATCAGCACTTCCTTTCACCATCATTTTGGCGGTAGATGGCTCCATTTTCTCATCTACCATGAGAATGCAAATACCACGCTGATCAATACCTCGACGCCCAGCACGACCACTCATCTGAATATACTCCCCGCTAGATATCCATCTAAATTTATCCCCATCAAATTTACGCACATTTGTGAAAACTACCGTCTTTGCAGGCATGTTCAAACCGATACTGAAGGTTTCTGTGGCAAACAAACACTAAAAAAGAAAGTTTAACCTCAGACATGATACAAAACTTGCATCAAGAAAATAAGAATCTAAAGAAGAAACTAAGAAATAAGAAACAAGGAGTTTCAATTTTTCTATGTAAGGGCATCTGCATAGAATTTTATATTAAGAAATAATGCTTCCGCACCAGCAGTTAAAGGATCACTCCATCTTCATTCCCTCAACGATTTTGAACTAATTACAGACAAAGCAGATTATTATGGCTAAACAAATCTACTGAACCCTAACCAGTGACGCAATTAGGCAATAGGCAATTTTAAGATGAAGAAGCATCAAGCCTTGTATACACACGTCCTAGCATCATCGTTTGGACATACCAAGAAAATAGGAAAGCTCATGGCATCATCAATAAGGATTCGTGTTTACACCGAACCTGTGTTGCTTAGGAAGATCATAAAGCATAATTGGCTATGGAAACTCTGTCAGGTTAAAGACTTTTAATGGGGAAAAAATAATTCGTACAGAACTGTCCATAGCCTTGGCAACATGTACTTAAGCAAGAAATCATTATTTTGATGCCAACCTTGATCAGCCCTTCCTGAAAGAGTATCTCAATAACTTCCTTTAAAATTGGCAGCAGACCAGAATGATGTACACCAATCCCACGTTTCAACAAGGGTAGCATATTTGAAACCTGTGATAAGTATAGATAGCACAAATTTATTCCATCAGCAAACAAATGAAATCAAAATACTAAAGCAAAGACAAGAAAAGCATGAGTTTTTATCCAGCTACAAACAGGAAATTAATAACAGAAACTATGTAACAGAAAGAGGCCTCAGTGAGAAGATACAGAAAAAAACAATAAGCATTGTCAAAAGCTACTACCAAATTTTCATTCAGCCAAGTAGATTGAACCTTCCTTTTTCCCTTCTGAAACTGCACAATCTCACTTTTCTCTTTAAAGCAAAAAATGGAATCCGCTACAGTAGATTTTATTTCACGATTACAGTTGTAAACAAAAATACTGAATTTAGAAATTTTCTTATAAGAAAGGATCTCCAATGACTAAAACGAACTCAGTAGAATATGGTTCTCTGACATCTTATCAATATTTGTCCAGTGACCTCTAAGCATAATTCAAGCGGTTTCATCAAGTAATATTAGTCCAACTGGTACGATGTATCTCATCATTTTGCAAGTCCCCCCCCCCACACCACCACCTAAGTAACTCCAAAGATAGCACAATAATGAATTCTTATCAAGGGAAATGGACCAGCAAACGAAAAGGGTATGTTCACAGGAACAGATCGTAAAGCAAGAAGAACTTAATAAAAAAATAAAAAATGTTTAATTTCACATAATCCCCCTGAACTTGGGGGTGTTTCACATAATCCCAATGAACTTGGTTTATCAAACATAAGCTTCCCAACCTTCGGGGTGTCTCAAAACCCCCTCGAACTTTCGCCTTTTCTAAATGGACTCCCCTGCCTGTACTTTGCAAATAACCAAAATGTTTTTCGAAGAAAAAAAATAAAATCTCACATTTTGTCATTTACCAGCGAAAATCTTTCTAATTTTTTGGGTATTTTGCACACAAGAAAATAGTGTACCTTCGCAAATTTTGTCATTATTATTTACAACAACATACCTCATTCCCAAATTTTTGAGTTTTTTCTCGCAAGAACATTTTATTTCGTTGCAAATTACACGTAGGGACGTCCAGAGAGAAAAGTTTAAAGTTCAAGAGGATCTTTGTGAGACAACCCAAAGTTCAGGGGCATTATTATAGGGTTATGTCAAAAAGCCCCCAAAAAGTGGAAAAGGATGTTAGTTCCTCAACGCACAACATGTATTCTCAAAAAGTAACACAACGCTAGATACATGAGAGATAGATAATAAGCTACGAAACAAAATCTTGCCTGTGGAAGCTTCTTGTCATCATCAGAAAGCATGTCCATTGCGCTCCAAAAGATGGTTTCAACATTTATTTTCTCATCTTCTTCATTTAAGTCCAATTTTGCCATCTATAGTCCAAAGTTAAACATATCAAGCTATTAAAGTCAACAATAGCTTAGTTCTAACCACACAGAAGAATCACTTCAAAAAATGACAATGAAAAATACTCTTGAATCAAAAGTATACAATGTAATTTTGGATTAAAAGAAATACAACATGCAAGCCCCACAATTATCGAATTCATCAATTCAGAAAGTAGCAAGGAGCTCGCATAACTAGTATCTGAATGAAACTTGGTCTGTAAGAAGATTGTTCATGCTTAACAAACCCATATTTTCATCATTTCCTTTAGTAATCAATAAAGAAATGGCAAAACACCACAAAATTTATGTGCAGATGTCTAGATAAGGAGAAGATTAAGATTAATTGCTTCCGCAATTTTATTATAAGAAGTTCCAAGAAGTCAATTGGATGTTAAGAAAACATATACATTATATGAAGAAAAAAATAGAACTTGATAAATAAATAAACAGATCAGCAGGCATTACCTGCATTGCAAGAAACTCACAGTCCCTTTTGCTGAAACTGAAAATTATCACAGGATCGTATTGTCGCTGGATTATCATTTTCACCATTTTAAATATGTCACTTTCTTCACTAGGCCTGCCTGATAGTAAACCTTTTTTCCACTTCCCATTTTCCCTTTTCTTATCCCCTTCACTAGCTGGAACAAGTGCATTTAAAGCTTTTTGAAAATTGTCCTCCCTAAATTTCCCTCTTTCATCCACCACCAAATATAAGCCATCACCTCCAGAAGGAAAAATGTAATGCTGAAGTGGTGTAGGTCGATAATCCGTATAAACAATGTGGCAAGGCTGCTGATGTACCTGCATTAAACAAAAGGTGATTGATGCCAAAAAAAGTAATCGACCGAGGACATGTACACAAAGGATGGTTGCCCAAAATAAAGCAATAAATAACAAAGATATAAAGTAGATTATACTTCAAACAAAGACATATCCACTTTGTAATGACCATCTACAAAACTATTCAAATAATATATCTACCTAGTGTTGTTGATGCCAAAATTGATAATAAAATTAGTCAGCAGTGGGCTGGCTAACATCAATCGGAGACACTCCTTGTGATCTTATCGTCATCGGTTAGGTGTTTATAATGAAAATGGGGATGGTATCAACAATGTAACATCAAAGAACTAGACAATATTTTATGACCATCTTTCAACACCGAAGCAGGCACCAACTCCTTGTGATCTTATCGGCATCATTTAACTATTTACAATGAAAACAGGGATGGTATTATGGTACAATGAACAATGTAACATCAAAGAATTAGACAATATTTTAAGACCAGCATTCAACAGCTAAGCAGGCACAAATTTCATGGGCAAAATACCATGGCCAAGAAGGGAGATTGCAGAACATCTTTACAATGTTGGCTGGTGGTTAGATCCTACCTAATTGATCATGAAATTTAAGCTTTTCAAACCAAAAGGCAAGCCTTCAGATTCTCCTGGAGTTCAAGAGTCTAGAAGAAGAAGAGAAGAAACCCGGTAAAATTTTTATTGAACTTATGTTTAAGCATAAATATACAGCAGAAGACTGAAAAGGAAATGTTTCCAGATCCTAGACCTTTAAATTCCAATTGAATCAAAGGTAGAAAGCATCTAGTCTATGGATCAACCATACAAAAAAATAATCAGCTTCAAGACCCTTGAAGGAATTCATTTTTGAAACCAAATAATGTATATGCTAATTCAGCAACTAGCATCATAACTCAAGTTTTGTTTCCTTAAGTTATCGGCTAAAAGTTGGATCCCAACTTAAATGGTATCAAGTAAATTTGATATAGTGGAGAGCAGACAGAAACTTGTATAAGAGAATGACAATCAAATCAAAAGTGTAACAAAAACCTTTGCTACCCAATCAGCAAACTCCTTCGCGTTAGGAACTGTTGCAGAAAGGAAAACAAAACGTGAGTTCTTAGGAGCCAGAACAATGCTTTCCTCCCAAACAACACCTCTTTCCCTATCGCGCATGTAGTGTACTTCATCAAAGATAATCCAAGCAACCTCCCTCATAACCTCTGATCCTTTGTATTGCATACTACGTAAAATCTCTGTTGTCATGACCTAAAAATTACAAAAAAAAATGGAAATGAAAGTTGTTAAGTGCTATTCCAATAGGAAACCCAAGGAAAAATAAAGCAACCTTCATAGTTTACCAAGCAGGAGGCACTGGGTTCTATAGTCACATCACCAGTCATAAGACCAACGTCTGAGAATTCTTCTTTAAATTCTCTATACTTTTGATTACTAAGAGCTTTAATTGGAGAGGTATAGATGACCCTTTGTTGGTTTCTCAATGACATGGCGATAGCATACAATG